CCTTTTTTTTTTTTTTTTTTTTTTTTTAATTACAATTTTCAAATTTTAATTTTATTTAATTTTCTTCTAAATCAAAATCAATTATTTAAATATTGAACCATTGAGCATAATCCAATAAATTCTCGCAAGTATTTTTTAAATTATTAAAACTCACATCAATTTAAGTGCTATTTAAAATTTAAAAAAAAGAGCAGCACGTTTCAATATTTTTAATTATTTATTGATTAATATTCTGTTCCTAACTTTTTCTTTTTTTAAAAAAAAAGAAAAAGAAAAAGAAAAAAAACCCCTTTTCCACTTAAAGTTGGAAATCTCTCTTTCTTATTTAATCATTTTCTTTTTAACACAATTTATTAAATTAAAATTAAAATATTAGAGAATTAAAGTTTAAAAAATTATAATATAATTTATTTAAATTTGATGGGTAATAAATAATAATAATAATAATATTCGTAGAAAATAAGATTGGACAGCATGAAAAGAGAGCCACCAATGGAGTTTCACTGCTATAGCCTGACACAAGATCAACAAATCCGCCAATAAAAAAATAATAATAAAAAAAAAACAAATCCCATTTCTGTAATTTTGAGTTACCACAAGGGCATTTTTCTTCTTCATCCAAATCCTCATTCTTTCCGTAGTACACAACCACGGGACCCACACCAAATTTCCGAATTAATAACTTGAAAATGAAAACAAAAATAAAATCTTTTTCCAAAATTCTGCTTCCTTTTATTTCCTTCATTAATCTATTAATTAAAACAGCTAATGGGTTTAGAGCGATTGCATTATATTCTTCCACAACTGTGATTTAGGAGGCGGGATTCTGAGATATTTGTCCTTCATTATCTGTTCATAAAGGGAGCGCGAATCTTGAAGAAATCGAAGCACTCCATTTCTTTGATTTCTTTGATTTCTTTGATTTTGGAGAAAAAAATTAAGGAAATAGTTAAACAAAGGAAGAGGAGAGAATAAAGTGGAAGCGGATGTTGACAAATTTCGGGTCACTTCATTGGGAGTTTGTTCGCTTGTTTGTTGTGGGTATTGCAGATTTCCCTTCTAGGATCTCTCTCTAAAAGACCTCTTCTCTATCTTTTCATCTCAAAAACTTTGAAATCTCTGCTTCTTTTCTTCAACCCCATGACGATCTAAACCCCTTTTCTCATGGCTTTCCGATATTCCCAACTTGTTCTTAATCATTTTTGATATCTATTGCTTTATTATTGTCTTTGATGGAGGGAGTTCGATGAGATTCTGAATGGGGATTCTCGTTATTTGTTGAATCCGAGAGCGATTTTTGATTGTGCGGTGTTCGATTGAGGTAATTTTGTTCTGTTCTTCGTTTTTTTGATTATTTGATTGATGGGTTTTTTTGATTATTTGATTGATGGGTTCTTTTGGTTTGATCGTTTGATTACTTGGTTTAGCACTTTGATTGTGTTTTTCCCACTTTTGGTTGGTTCTGTGCTGTATTTTGGGGAATTGTTGGGTGTTTGTGGTTTCTATGATTACCCTTTTGGCTTCATCATGCATTTGCTTTTGCACTGAATTTTAGGATTCTGATGATTTTGATTGGTGGTTTGCGCCAATATCTGGGTTGCTTTGTTGTATTGACTTTTGTAGACTTTTTGCTTTGTCTTTTTACTGAGAGAAGACTTCTTAAACACTGAATTTTCCTTGTGGACTTTCTGGGTATCTCTGGAGACCTTCCATTTTATCTGTAATTTCTTTGAGGCAAAAGCTTGAGCAGATTGGCCTGCTTTGGAGTTCATTGTCACATGTTCTCTATGGTTCCTCTTTCGATTGAATTTCCATTTTCTGAGTTCACTGGTTGTATTGCTGATGTTGTACTCTCGTTATGAGGTTCGAGTGTTTGAATTATGATGGATCTACTAGGGGGCTTGGGCTGTTACAAATGGGATAAGAGTCAGACATCGGGCGGTGTGCCAACGAGGATGTTGAGACTTGAAGGGGGGTGCACACCGGGCAGTGTGTTAGCGAGGACGTTGAGCCCTGAAGGGGGTGGATTGTGAGACCCCATATTGATTGGAGAGGTGAATGAGTGCCAGCGAGAATGTTGGGCTTCGAAGGGGGTGGATTGTGAGATCCCACATCGATTGGGGAGGGGAAAGAGTGTCAGCGAGGTGTTGGGCCCTAAATGGGGGTGGATTGTGAGATCGCCCATCGGTTGGAGAAGGGGAACTAGTGTCAGCAAGAACATTGGGACTTGAAAGAGGGTGGATTGTGAGACCCCACATTGATTGGAGAGGGGAACGAGTGCCAGCGAAAACGCTAGGACCTGAAGGAGGGTAGATTGTGAGACCCCACGTTAATTGTAAAGGGGAACAAGTGCCAACGAGGATGCTAGGACCTGAAGGAGGGTGGATTGTGAGACCCCACATTTATTAGAGAGTGGAACGAGTGCCAGCGAGGACGCTCTGCCCCGAATGGGGATGGATTGCAGTTGGAGAGGGGAACAAAACATTCTTTATAAGGGTGTGGAAACCTCTCCATAGTAGACACATTTTAAAAACCTCGAAGAAAAGTCCAAAAAGGAAAATATCACGACTCGGGTGGTTACAGTTCTGTTTCTTATAAATCATTTTGGTGTGTTTCTTTGAAGGCAAATGATTATGAACTTGGGATCGATATGATTAAGAGTATGAACTGCATCTTCAATGGGATTCCTTCCTAAAGTTGAACTCTTATAATTTTCAGGAATGGGAACTAAAGTGCAATGCAAAAGTTACTTGCCAGGATTTTACCCAATGAGGGAACTTAACAATGATACTAGCAGCCATAATTGGCACCTATTTTATGGTGAAAGAGCCTTCACAAATGCACAATATCCCAATGTGTTCTTTCCAAGAACTAACACAAATGGATATCTAGGCGATGATAAGAACGTGGTGAAGCAGAAAATGCTTGAACATGAGGCCATCTTCAAGAATCAGGTGCATTTCTTCTTCTATCTTCCTGAACTCTCCATACAATGTTCTTCATTTCAACATGATTGAGTTAAGTTTTTAATGAAATCTCTCATTGGAAGTCTAGCTATAAGCCAGATATTGCTTCTTGTGTCGAACTGCAGGTGTTCGAACTGCATCGTCTATACCGAAAACAACGAGATCTAATGGCTAAAATCAAATCTACAGAGCTTTGCAGAAATCAGTTAGCTGTAGACTCATTGCTCTCTTCTAGCCCCATGACATCTCAAGTTACTTCTGAAGATGGTTCGAGACGGAATCTGCCATATTTTCGTGTGGGGAATTCGTCTAATGCCAGGTTTTCTATTTCAGGTGTTGAAGAAGTTCATTCTTCTATGATTTCTAGCCAGAAGCCTTTTTTTTTTTCATTACAAAACGACACGAGGGACGTGCAGGTTCTCGAATCCAGACCGACAAAGTTTAGACGAAAAGTGTTGGATCTTCAGCTCCCTGCTGATGAGTACATTGATAGTGAGCCTGACATATCAAGTCACCATCACAACAAGAACCAAATGATTGATCTTGGAAGGGATATCAAGTTCTATGCTGCTGATGATGGCGAGCAGCCTGGTTGCCCGCAAAATGCTCGTAAATCGGGCGCTCGTTTTGAAAAGAATACAAGTTGTTCAAGTGATTTGGATAATAATAACATTCTTCAGGGACTTCAAACTAAAATATGGCCTGTTTCTTCTCAACCTGTAAGTTCTCTCTATGAACTTCATGAAGCTCCATTGTTTCATTCAACAGATAAAGATAGTGTAGAACAGTCGAGAGACGGGTCGGTTTTCGGTTGGCAGTTTACCAAAAGATGTCATGAGAAGATCAAGGGTGAACCATTGAGCTCGAGCTCGTTCGTCCCTATGCCTCCTGATTTTATTAAGTTCTCATACTATAACAGGGCTGTTCTTGGGTGTTCATCTGAGTTCAAGGAAGAAATGGGGCACCCCTCTTCTGTCAGCTGCAACTTTTGGAAGCAGGGTAATGGTAACGATCGAACTCCGAAAGACTTGAGCCCTTCCATTGCGTTGAAACTCCTCGAGGACTCGAGTTCTGTGGACATGAAATGTACAAAAGAGAGAGGTTTTAAAGAAAATTGTACATTGTTGCCTTGGCTCAGAGGAAAAACTGGTCATTTGCTTAGTGATGATATCTTCAACAAAGAGTTTGAATCAGACAAGTCTTGTAAGAGTCAAAAACTAAGAACATTATCAGTTTCTGAGGGATTGCAGGATCCCAAGAAAGCAGTATTTGATATCAACTTGCCTTGTGATCCTTTGGTTGCTGAATTGAATGCACCAAAAGTTCTCATTGATTTGAACTTGAGTCTAAGCGACGACGACGAAGAACATTTGATACCGACACCTAAATCGAATGTCCGAACGTGGGGAGAGATAGATTTGGAGGAGGCTCCTGCAAGTACTGATGAAATTAGAGAAACCACGCCCGAATTAGACTCGAAATGGCGATACGAAGCCGTAAACGAACAAGATGGGGTCATGGAATTAGCAGCAGAGGCAATAGTTTCCATTGCTTCATCTGTTTGTGACAGCCATTTGGAGGATTGTATGGACAATGCCTTTGATTTGTTGGTGGAGATGGCTGTCTTATATTCAAATGATGATGAAAATGAGTATGAAGAAGGGATGGATTCGTTTGAATCCATGACATTGGGGCTAGCAGAAGCCAAGGAAGAGGAGTATATGCCTAAGCCACTGGTTCTTCCAGGGCATATAACAATGGAAGAAGATGCAGCTAATGTACTGCAAAGCCGCCCTCGGAAAGGGCGGGCAAGGCGAGGCAGGCAACGGAGGGACTTCCAAAGGGACATACTTCCAGGCCTTACTTCTCTATCAAGACAAGAAGTTACAGAAGATCTTAACACATTTGGAGGGCTAATGAGGGCAATGGGTCATGCGTGGAATTCGAGCTCGACGAAGAGGAACTCGTTGAGAAACGCTGCGTGTGGCAGAGGAAGGCGACGATCCATGACTAGCAGCAGCAGCAGCAGCCCCTCTACACAGCCAGCTGAGAATGTTCCTAGTAATGCTGATGCTGCTGATGAGATGGGACTTGACAATAGGAGGCTGACAGGGTGGGGGAAGGCGACGAGACGGCCCCGTCGACAACGAGTCCCGGTCGGTAATCTTGCAACGATTGTGCTTTAGTTTAGAGATGGTTTGGATTGTACATTTTTGAGCTCAAATGCTTGTCCTTCCTATATCTATCTATAGCAGAAACATTAGGTCTTGCTTAGATTACAATGATGGATCTATTGGTCTCAGATTTGAATATATTTATCTCTGTTTTCTATACAAATGAAGCCATTGTTTTGTATTTTGATTCAAAATGTATTAATACGTTATTCCTCTTGATTTCGTTCATGCATTTAGCTGTTTTTTTATATCATCTTTGGTCTACACTCACATAAAAAATGTTTCGTTATCCTTCTCAATTGACGTGAGATCTTACAATCCACCCCCTTCGAAGTCTAGCGTCCTCGTTGACACTTGTTCTTTTTGTTCCCCTTCCCAATCAATGTGGGATCTCACAATCCACTTCCTTTCGGTTCTTTTTATTCTCCTTCCCAATTAATGTGTGATCTCACATTCCACCTCCTTTCGGGGCCAGCGTTCTCGTTGACACTCGTTCCCTTCTTTAATCAATGTGGGGCCCCCCAATCCACCCCCTTCGGAGCCCAACGTGTTTGCTGGCACACCGCCTCGTGTCCACCTCTTTTTGGGCTAGCTTTCTTGCTAGCATATTGTCCGGTATTTGGCTTAGCAGATATTGTCCACTTTGGACTTTCTCCTCAAGTTTTCCCACCCCTAATAAAGAATGTTTTGTTCCTCTTTTTAACTGATATAAGATCTCCCACCATCATACTCTATTATAACTAGACGAGAACAACTGCGAAATTATCTATAAAAAAAAAAAAAAAAAAAATTAATGAGTAATCAATGAATTAAGGAAAAAAAATCATTATATATATGGATAGGCACAACATTTATTTATTTATTTTGAAGTTTAAATCCAATAATATCAACACAAATTGACCCACTACCTAAAAAATAAAATATTTTTTAAATAGATTTTGATGAATGCATGGATAGAAGTGGAGTCCCATCATATCAATAAACCCTTTTTCCTCCAAAAGAATGCTCAATTTCTTTTATGTCACATTGCGCCCTTAAATACCCATAACTCACCCTACACCCTTTACTCTTCTTTGTCTCCATATGTCTCTTTCTAGCCTACTTTACCTAATTCTACCCTTCCTTATTATGCCTTTCAACCCTAAATTAACTCCCTTCACACATTTTACCCTAAAAAGATAGCTCTATCCATCTCTACCGAATACACTTACGGGTCTCATTCTTAAGTCGGGTCTATAACAACTTGGTACATCATCCCCCCCCCCCCCCCCCCCCCCCCCCCCCCCCCCCCCCCCCCCCCCCCCCCCCCCCCCCCCCCCCCCCCCCCCCCCCCCCCCCCCCCCCCCCCCCCCCCCCCCCCCCCCCCCCCCCCCCCCCCCCCCCCCCCCCCCCCCCCCCCCC